GTAATCCCCCTTATGCAATGCAGGGTGGCCCGAAAAAGAAAAACTTTCACGATCATTCACTCCATCACTGTCTTGCCAGAAGGGTGCTTTACACTACAGTTTTTAAACTGCAACATTAACACCCCTCCTTCAAAGTGCAGGCACTGTACTTCCCATCTCCAGGATTCAAGTCCGGCCTGCCGGTTTCCCTGAATCCCTTCATAAATGTTACTTTGCTCACACTCCAACAGCACGTCAAGTATTAAAAACCATTTGTCTCCATTCACTCCTATCAAACACGCTCACGCATGCCTGCTGAAGTCCAAGCCCCTCGCACACAAAACCTCTTTTAACCCCCTCCCTCCAACCTTCTTAGGCCGACCCCTACCCCGCCTTCCTCCACTACAGACTGATACACTCTTGAAGTCATTCTGTTTCGCTCCATTCTCTCTACATGTCCAACCACCTCAACAACCCTTCCTCAGCCCTCTGGACAACAGTTTTTGGTAATCCCGCACCTCCTCCTAACTTCCAAACTACGAATTCTCTGCATTATATTCACACCACACATTGCCCTCAGACATGACATCTCCACTGCCTCCAGCCTTCTTCTCGCTGCAACATTCATCACCCATGCTTCACACCCATATAAGAGCGTTGGTAAAACTATACTCTCATAATTCCCCTCTTTGCCTCCAAGGACAAGTTCTTTGTCTCCACAGACTCCTAAGTGCAACCACTCACCCTTTTCCCCTCATCAATTCTATGATTCACCTCATCTTTTCATAGACCCATCCGCTGACACGTCCACTCCCAAATATCTGAATACATTCACCTCCTCCATACTCTCTCCTTCCAATCTGATATCCAATCTTTCATCACCTAATCTTTTTGTTATCCTCATAATCTTACTCTTTCCTGTATTCACTTTTAATTTTCTTCTTTTGCATACCCTACCAAATTCATCCACCAATCTCTGCAACTTCTCTTCAGAATCTCCCAAGAGCACAGTGTCATCAGCAAAGAGCAACTGTGACAACTCCCACTTTATGTGTGATTCTTTATCTTTTAACTCCACGCCTCTTGCCTGGTGGTGGCCTGGTGGTTAACGCTCTCGCTTCACACGACGAGGGCCTGGGTTCGATTCCCAGCCAGAGTAGAAACATTGGACGTGTTTCTTTCCACCTGTTGTCTATGTTCCCCATCAGTAAAATGGGTACCTGGGTGTTAGTCGACTGGTGTGGGTCGCATCCTGGGACACTGACCTAAGGAGGCCTGGTCACAGACCGGGCCGCGGGGGCGTTGACCCCTGGAACTCTCTCCAGATAAACTCCAGATAAGACCCTCGCATTAACTTCTCTTACAACCCCATCTATAAATATATTAACCCTTTCAGGGTCCAAGGCCCAAATCTGGAGTCACGCACCAGTGTCCAAGAATTTTCAAAAAAAAAATTTGTTATTTTTTCTTATGAAATCATAGAGAATCTTTTTGTGAAGGTAATAAAACAAAAAGTACGAAATTTGGTGGAAAATTGACGAAATTATGCTCTCGCGAATTTTGATGTGTCAGCGATATTTACGAATCGGCGATTTTGCCGACTTTGACTCCCATTTTAGGCCAATTACATTATTCCAGTCAACCAAATTCTTAGCTATTTCACTAGTATTACTCTATTCTATCGATTGAGCACAAGAAATCGCCAAGTCAACTGTTCAACTACAAAATAAAGTGATCGGAAATTGTTAATTTGGCCAATTTAACAACAAAGTTCAAAATATTCCAATTTCAAAATAGGGTCCAGAATGAACAATGTAGGCATTCCTGGCACTAAACTAACATTTCCTCTTGTTCATTAGTTATGTTTTGAGGCTTTACAAATAAATTCCATTTTGATTTTTTATTCACATAATGAATTTTATTCACACCAAAAAATAGAAGATTTGCTGTTTATGCAATACTGTAATAATTGTATAAATATCATCACCATATTTGTGAATGTATATTAGACCCACCAGCTGATGTGTATTAGACGTGTGAGGTCGTTTGTTTACTCTTGAATATCGGCAAAAATTTAACATTTCTGCTACTTTGAGCTCAGTTCAAGCCATTTCCAGTGCTAAAACCAATCAAAATCATCTCTATTTCTGTAATATGTCTTCCATTCTATCAAATGAGACCAAGAAATCACAAATACAACTATAAAAAACATACGAAAAAACACTGCAAAGTTGCTGTTTTAATCGAAAAATCATGATTTCATTTTTTTCCTCTCATTATACACAGTGTGCTGCAGGATCTGTTTTATGTGGTGCACACATACCACATAGATGTATTCTCTCATATCTAGGCCCAAATGTACCACTCACAGTTTATCAGAGTGAGCTGAGCTCATGGCGTAGATCTACGGTTTGGACCCTGAACGTAAAGCCGTAGATCTACGGGACGGACCCTGAAAGGGTTAAAACAACCACGTGACATCACACATCCCTGTCTAAGGCCTACTTTTACTGGAAATAATTTCCCTCTTTCCTACATACTCTAACTTGAGCCTCACTATCCTCGTAAAAACTCTTCACTGCTTTCAGTAACCTACCTCCTATACCATACAACTGCAACATCTGCCACATTGCCCCCCTATCCACCCTGTCATATGCCTTTTCCAAATCCATAATGCCACAAAGACCTCTTTAAGCCTTATCTAAATACTGTTTACTTATATGTTTCACTGTAAACACCTGGTCCACACACCCCCTACCTTTCCTAAAGCCTCCTTGTTCATCTGCTATCCTATTCTCCGTCTTACTCTTAATTCTTTCAATAATAACTCTACCATACACTTTACCAGGTATACTCAACAGACTTACCCCCCTATAATTTTTGCACTCTCTTTTGTCCCCTTTGCCTTTATACAAAGGAACTATGCATGCTCTCTGCCAATCCCTAGGTACCTTACCCTCTTCCATACTTTTATTAAATAATTACACCAACCACTCCAAAACTCTATCCCTACCTGCTTTTAACAGGCTTCGTGCCTGCTTAATTCTTTATGTATTATATCAAATTTTGCCTTTGCTGTGTCATTACCTTTAGGAAAAAAATTCTTTCAATTTAGATGAAATTATTTTCTTATTGTTTTCAGAAATGCCAACAATGAAACAGTTAAAAAGTCACTATGTTAATGGATCAATAGGGGGGCTGCTGGTACACGTTATTGCCAGCTGTCCATGGATTCTGAATTATGAAGTTTATTTTTCATGATGATAATACAGTGGAACCTCGGTTTTCATGATTAATTTGTTACAGGAAGTCTGATGAAAACTGAATTATACAAAAACTGAAGCAATATTTCCAGTAAGAAATAATGTAAACCCAATTAATCCGTTCCAGACATCCAGTAGGAAATAATGTAAATCAAATTAATCCGTTCCATACACCCAAAAATATTAAGAAAGAAATGATTTATAGAGAATATAGTTTTACATATAGAAAACAATGAGAAACAAATATAAATGACTAATGAAATGGATAAATGAACATTTAACATCACTTACACATTTATTGAGGACTCTTGATGGTGTATGGAAGATGGCGAGGAGGGGAGAGGGAGGAGGAGAGGTTATTGTTTGGAAGGGGAATCCCCCTCCATAAGGATTTCAAGTATCAAGGTCCTATCCTGGGTTACTTCCCTTCTTTGTCTTTTACTGGCACTAGGACCAGCTTGAGAGTCACTGGACAAGTCACTGTCATTGAACATGTTGCAGACATGGCTTGCAACAGCTTTGTTAGGGTGTTATTTCTCCACAAAACTCTGCAACTCACTGCACTTTGCACAGATGTCCTTAATCACTGAAGAAGGCACATTCTTCCCTCAGCTGCGGTCACTTTCGTACTTTGCTACTTTCCACTTTGCCGCTTTCGTACTTTGCTACGTGTTCTTTCTTGAATTCTGTCGTATTTCTCACCTTTTTTATCAAAGGGCTGGCACTTGGAACTTTCTTTGGCCCCATGGTGGCTTATTTAGCAGTTGCACTCAATAAACAAGCACAAAAAAACAATAAATTATAATGAAAGGTTATCCGAACGCATGGGGTAATGCTCATTCAATGAGAAATAAAGACAGACTGAGTCAAAATGTGTGGGATGCTTTGTGTGGGTGCAGGCAGGCAGATGCGTTTGGTACAGTGGACCATTGTCAACTCTTCGAAAACTGAGCAGATGTACGAAAACTAGGACAAAATTTAGACAAAAACAGTCGTTGAAAACCGAATCCTACAAAAACCAGGGCTTATGAAAACTGAAGTTCCACTGTATAAGCAAATATTTTGAGGTAAATAATGAGTGTACTGTGTGTGTATTTTACTTTTTATTGTTTTTAATGCCTAGTTCTATTGCTAACTTAATATATGTTAGTGTAAACTTCTTATGTAGCATTTATATACATTTATAAGTGGAAAAAATGATGTTCTGCTTTCTGGCAGTAGTCTGGAACCTAATCTGCCATATAAGTGGGGCCCTACTGTACATTGTAACACAGTCTCTCCTCACTTAACGACATTCTCGTTTAATGACCGCTTGGACTTAGGACCAGCTCTCTGACCAGTATGCATACCTAAGTGATGTATATTAGAGCTGATTTCCTCTATTCCTGTTTATTACATTATACAGTACACTGCTGTATAAACATTTAAAAATATTTAAAAAATGTTATAAATGTTGCATAGGTAACATTAAAACAATATCAAAGATGGTTGACAAACCTACTACCAATATAGCATGCTCCTCACTTAACAACCAGTTCATTTACCAACCTACTCTTAGGAGCAGAGCTCCATTGTTAAGTAAGGAGAGACTATATTTAAATTGTTTTATATGGGTTGAATGAGTCACAAATGCAGGGTATCACTTTGAACCTGTGTTACACATGTATACCAGGCTTTTTCACTTGTAATGGAAAACCTTGTCTCAGTAAAAGTTGTTCTCTGAATTTACATCTATTTCAACCATTCTCTTTGGTACAGGTCTTTACGTTTGGTACAAAAGCTGTTACATCTATTATGGGAGCAGTCACAAGGCAAAGAAATTAGCTCATCCTCGCCCTCGAACAGTTCGTCTTCCAGTAACTCATCCTGCAATAACAATGCTGCCACAGCTGCTGCCCTTGCTGCCACCAACAACATCTCATCATTAAGTTCTCAAACCACCAATGTAATTTTTACACTTCTTACAACATTATTGGCAAATAATCCTCGCCCACAAGACCTGTTATGGTATGTGTATAGAAGATTTGTTGGATTACTTTGTTATCTACATAATTTGGGAATTTTATCGGCACTGTATCATGGCAGAAAAAAGAAGTAGAGTTAACAGATAAAACAGTTTTTCTTTCTGTATTTTTTAATGTCTTTTTTTATTACTTCCATTTGTGGAAGAAGCAGCAGTTTTAGCTTGCTTCCACATAGGTTGTTTCTTGCTCACAGTGAGAAACACCCCTGTATGAATTTGTGAAGGAAATTCAGTATTGTCTCATTATACATTAACAAAGTGTAAAGGCACCAAAGCAGAAACAACAAAATATAAGGAAGACACAAAATATGAAAGGAGTGTCTCTTGAAAGGACTGTAATCAACACCAGTGAATTGTATTTTCAACATTTAGCCATCTCTGGGATATTTACTCCCAGTGATAAGCTATTTACACAACATAATAGCCATCTAGAATTTTAGTTGGGAGTTTCAGGATCATTTGTCTAGGAAGCTGGTTTCCTGCCTAATCGTGAAAAGACTGAAGAACTTTATAACCTGATAAATGGTTGATGTTAAATTGAAGTGAGTGGGGACCCAAAAAAGAAGAAACACATTCATTATCAATCACTCTATGACTGTTTTGTCAGAGGTGTGCCAACATTACAGCTCAGATTATCCTCCAGACTACAGTATTCCTAACCCTCCTTCAGAGTGCAAGCACTGTACTTTCCACCTCCAGGACTTAGGTCTGGCTAACCAGTTTCCCTGAATCCCTTTATAAATGTTACCTTACGCACACTCCAACAGTATGTCAAGCCATAAAAACCACTTGCCGCCATTCCTGTCTAACACTATCACACATGCCTGTTTAACCCTTTGACTGTTTACGCTGTATATATACGTCTTAGGCGCCACTGTTTCTGACGTATTTATACGCATAAATTCTAGCGGCTTCAAATCAAGTGGGAAAGGCCTGGTAGGCCTACATGAGAGAGAATGAGTCTCAGTGGTGGGTGTTCACCCTGTGAAAAAATCTAAGACTAAGCGGTGCATTGTGGGAACGCCATCTTTGTAGTCCATTTTCACCATGCCTCACGGTAAGAAGTACCTCACTCTTCAGCGGATTGGAGGTCTTTTGTTCCCAAGTGATAACTCTAACAGCGATGAAAGTGTCAGTGACAGTGAATTCCAGGGTTTTCAAGTGAGTGTGACTGAAAAAAGTGCCCAGGATGATGTAATTAGTGATGAAAACCCAGATGACCCACAACCATCCACCTCTGGTGCTGGGCCGGCTTGTTCACGTTCATGTTCACCTGTACCAGGACGAAAGAGGAAACTATTTGGTCGTGTACAAGACCCAGATGTTAGCAGTAAATGTGATAGTGATAGTGATTTCAAGGTTATTGAAAGCAGTTCTAGTTGTGACAGTGAGGGTGAATATTCCCCAGTGAAGCGGCAGTATGTACGACATAACATGCTGTTTGGTAGTGTTTCATATGCTGTTCCAAGGGGAAGGAGAAGCTCTGGGAGCACATCCCGTGGTCCTACACCACGACCTGATAGTGAAGATGACGATATTGTTACGATGGGTATGAATGATGTGAGTGAGGCAGCAGGCAATGGTGGTGATAGTGATGGCGGCACGACCCATGTGGCACCAGCAGCGGGCCACGCTACTACCCGCGTTGCTGACTCTGCACAAAAACAACCAGCCTCGCCCAACCCCACACTCCCACAACCTACACAACCACAACCTGCACAACCACAACCACGTTACAATATCCAGAACCCACCAGCAGACCGCATCTGGGATTGGCAGGAAGGTGACGAGTTTGTTCCCAGTCCCCATGACTTTGATGAAACACAGAGTGGAATAAAGCCATCATGTCCACTTGGGAACAATGCTAGTGAACTGGAAGGCTTTGAGTTATTCTTCGATGAACCCCTGATGGACATCATTGTCAGGGAAACCAACACATACTATGAATACACCATGGCAAATACAGTTCTCTCACCAAGATCACAGCTACACCAGTGGAAGGAGACAACTGTGGCAGAGATGTACCTGTTTTTTGCTACAATAATGCTTATGCCACATTTGTATAAGCACACTGTCACCACATACTGGGCAACAGAACGCCTGATTTCAACTCCAGGTTTTAGTGACATTATAGGTGTCAATCGTTTCTTGATACTGTTACGTATGTTACACTTTTCAAACAAAACCAGGCCTGACAGAAGCGACAGGTTATGTAAGATCAGAAATGTGTTTATGTACATGAAACAAAAGTGCTGCATGTATTATTATCCCTTCAGGAAGCTTGTTATTGACGAGTCTTTGATTTTGTTCAAAGGAAGACTCTCATTCGAGCAATATATACCAAGCAAGAGGAAACGCTTTGGTATACAGTTATTTGTACTGTGTGATTGCAGAAGTGGTCTAGTTTTGGATATCATTGTGTACACTGGCAGTAATACTTTGAGAGATACCATGAAGTTATTGGGTATCTCTGGTGATGTGGTTAGAACAATGATGGAACCATATCTTGGTAAGGGGCATATGTTATTTACTGATAACTGGTACACAAGCCCCTTACTCAGTGATTTCTTGCGAGTGAACTTGACAGACGTGTGTGGCACAGTGTGTGGTAATCGTAAACATATGCCAAGGTTCAACACTGGCACTTGCAGAGGTGAGGTGCAAGCCTTTGCTGCCAATGACATCATGGCATTTCGGTGGCATGACAAACGTGATGTCACATTGTTGACATCAGTTCACCGAAACGAAATGGCACACAGTGGCAGGCACAACAGAGACCAATGAACCTATTCTAAAGCCTGCAGCTGTCATGGACTACAACCTCAATATGCACTTAGTGGACAAATGTGACATGCAGATTGGGTTTGCTGATTGTGTATGCAAGAGTTATAAGTGGTATATAAAACTTTTTTTCCATCTTGTTGATATCTCCATGCTAAATGCTTATAACATATACAAGTTGAAGACCAACTAAACACCAAAATATGGTGAATTTTGTTTGTCAGTAATCAGACAAATAATCACAAAGTACCAAGGAGCAACACCTGCAATAGACCAGCGCCCACGAAATTACCAACACATGCCATCTTGTTTGAGGCCTGGTGATCATTACCCCATACAGCTGCCTCCTACTACTTCCAAGAAAAATGCTCAGAAGAGGTGTTATGTATGTACACATACCACAAAACGCCCACAAACATGCAGAAACACTCGTTTTATCCGTGAGGAGTGTCAAGTGCCTCTCTGCATATACCCATGTTTCAAAGAGTTCCACAAGCTGCAGCAGTTCTAGGAACGTGTTCAGTGACTGTACATATGTATATATATTATGGAACAATAGTAATAAACATTGTTTTGTATTGTTTGTTTGTGTAAACAAATTTTATACACAAACTAATAGTGATAAAGTTTGTTCAGTTATTGTGTTGTAAACAATGAGTGTATATTTGAACAATGCACCTTACATTGGTCTCACAGGCCACATAAGTTACTTGGAAAAGAAAAATATTGGAAAATACAAGAAACTTTTGAATTAGAGTAAATAAAAGAATACTGGGTGGGCGGCAGTCGCCGCTGTTGCCGTACGCACCTCACTTTCTGCCAACTTTGCGGCTCTATATCTCGGTAAGCACTGATGGCAAAAAATTTTTTTAGGCTTAAAACACTCGGTAAAATAATCCTAACATTTTCGTAAGAAAAAATAATTTTTTTTTTTTTCGAATATTTTGCGACATAGAATGACAGTTTCAGAAAGGGGCCTGCGACAGTCAAAGGGTTAATGTCCAAGTCCCTCACACACAAAAGCATCTTTTCCCTCTCTCTTGCTTTAACCCTTGAACTGTCCAAACGTAGATATAAGCTGACGTGTGTAGCGCTCCGAACGTAGATCTACGTTTTTACGTGCTTTCAAATGGAGAAAATAGAGGTCGGAGCGCTATGCACATGAACGTAGATCTACATTTGGACAGTTTAAGGGTTAACTCTAATAGCATGTCAAGTGAGGTTGTTACATTTCAGAGAGTTGTCTGAACTATGATGTCAGTACACTTCTACTATTTTTTTTCCTTGCCTCTGTAGGAGATGGGCTGCATGTTTAAAAAAAATTCTCTATAGTTAACATTTATCTTGTAGTAAACATTTTCACTACATAATCTGAAGAGTTGGTGTACTGCGACTAATGTTCATTTTGTACATAAATGTGCAGCAATAATAACAGAATTATTTACAAAAACTAACCCTCAAATCTGAATGTTTTGTTAAAGCTGAACCAGTAGCACTATAAAATGATATTTCAAAAAATTAGGCAGTAAGGTATAGAATCATTTTGTAGATATTTAAACTACTTGCCAAAAAAATTAATTAAAGCAGATATTTACAAGGTGAGTGGTGCTTTGAGGTGTCTGTGGAGACAGAATATTATCCATGGAGGCAAAGAAGGAAATGTACAAGAGTATAGTGATACAGACACACTTATGTGGGTGTGAAGAATGGGTTGTAAATGCTGCAGCAAGGAGGAAGCTGGAGGCAGTGGAGATGTCGTGTCTAAGGGCAAAGCGTGGTGTAAATATTATGCAGAGAATTCATATTGTGGAAATTAGGAAGTGTGGAGTTACTAAAAGTATTAGTCAGAGGGCTGAAGAGGGGTTGTTGAGGTGGTTTGGTCATTTAGAGAGGATGGAACAAAGTAGAATGACTTGGAGAGCGTATAAATCTGTAGGCGAAGGGAGGCAGGGTAGGGGTCGCCTTAGGAAAGGTTGGGTAAAGGGGGTAAAGGAGGTTTTGTGGGCGAAGGGCTTGGACTTCCAGCAAGCATGTGTGAACATGTTAGATAGAGGTGAATGGAGACGAATGGTTTTTGGGATCTGACGAACTGTTGGAGTGTGAGCAGGATAATATTTTGTGAAGGTATTGAAGGAAACCGATTAGACGGACATGAGTCCTGGAGGTGGGAAATACAATGCCTGCACTTCAGAGAAGGGGTTTGGGATATTGGCAGTTTGGAGGGACATCTCAACTGTCGTATCTGAGTACCTCTGAGAAGTCAGTGATTATGTATGAATGATAGTGAAAGTATTGAACGATGATGAAAGTTTTTTCTTGCTTTTTGGGTCACCTTTCCTTGGTGGGAAACATCCAACGTAAAATGAACAATTTTTTATTACACTAGCCATCTTACATAAGGGTAGGGTGACTCAAAACAAGGAAACTTTGTCCATCATTCATGCAGCCAGAATTGTTCAAGCATCACAATTCAAATGGATCTCCAAACCGTAATGTACACCTTCCTTCCACTTCCAAGTGAAGGCACTTCCCATTTCAAAGACTTGCATCTGACTAACTAGTTTCTTTGAATAAGTGTTACTTTGTCCACAATCCAGAAGCAAATCAAATCCTAAAAACCACCTCAGCTCACTTTGATTTAACACATTCACACTGAAAAGGCGAGAAAGAGCTTTGAAATAAATTACATACAATAGAAAACCCTAAGTCAGGTGATCCTAGGTTCCATTTTCAATATTATGCAAATTTAAATTAAGGTTTTCATTTCCTATAGAAATGCACCTATTTCCATTAAAGCACACTGGAGAGGGATTTATTTATATTGGTGGTGTGCATTTCTGTTAAGGAGCACTGTGAGAGGAAGGCTTGAGACCTCCCTAATATGCATTAGGCATCTCAGTAGTCGTAGCATTTTGGGGAAGGGTGTGAGGGAGGGTGATGGGATGTAAATGAAGCAGTTTCTTACGCAGGTCATTGCATCTTGACATGTACCATATGATTTTAGCTTAGTCCACATTATTCAGTTTTTCCTTCTTTTCATTGCCCACTCTCATATCTGGATATTTATCATGGCTTTCAAACAAGGTGCAGGTGATGGTAGTGAAGCAAGGAAAAGAATTAGGCATGAAATTATGCCTATAATGAAAAAACTGGAGGTAATTGAGATTCTGAAAAATGGTGCCTGCATCATGGAGATGGCATGAGTATTTGGTATTAGAGAATCAGCAGTTTGGTCAGTTAGAGACAATGTGGCAAAGATAATGGCTTGTGCAATGAATATTTGTCAGTGTGATGCAGTGAATATAATTAGGAATAGGTCCACAGCCACCCCTTCACTGACTTCAATATGTTAATCATCCTGAACTCAACTTAAAGGTAACAAATAATGTGCAGTATTAGTGCAACCATTTTTTAATTACATGTACTTTTTTTAAAATGTCTGAACCTCACTAGAGTTTAGGTATTTCACAATGTTAGGTAAGAAATACTGTTTTTTTTTCACATAAAAAAATGTGTTATAGCTCTCTTGGAGGTCTAAAGAACGCAGCCCTATTTTTTATATATGTTTTAGTCTTTAAGTTGTGGAAATCATTAGTAGCACAGTTTTCAGGAACAGCCCACACAATTTATGATCATCCACTATGCAATAAAATGAGCAGATAGGTTAAAAAAAATTTAAGAAAAGGCACAGCATTAAATATTTGAAGATTTAAATAACTTCCTTGAAGTATTTTATGAAATAGGTTTAAGTATTGTTTAAGTAACTGATTGAATTGCACATTGTTTTTTATATTGTCTTTATTGTTGATGTTTTAATAATTTGACCTCAATTAATTTTTCAGTTTTGGGCAGTTCATTGTGTCAACATTGCCAATCCTCAGCATTCTTGAAAAAAACATTGACTTGAAACCTTATGAGGAGGAGAGAAATGTAGACAGTGTGGAGTGTTGCAGTGTGTCAGTAAGGAACATTCTTCTCAGGAACAAGTGTTTACACATCATCCATACTCTGCTCTATAATTCAAACAAGAACACTATACATCTTGGGTGAGTGTATATCCTGGAAATATTTATTGAGAAATAGAAATGCAGTGGGCATTTGATGTTTTGAATTGTATGGGGCAAAGAGTTTGATGGATACAGAGTTTTCCAGTTAAATGTTATGGGGAGGGTGGGGATATGAGTTAGTTTTTTTGGCTAATTTGATAGAACATGTTCTATCAGATTAGCCAAAAAAATATATATATATATATATAGTTCTTGTTTTTATTACTTTTCCTTTTATATCCATGGGGAAGTGGAATAAGAATCTTTCCTCCGTAAGCCATGCGTGTTGTGAAAGTCAACTAAAATGCCGGGAACAATGGGCTAGTAACCCCTTTTCCTGTAATAATTACTAAAAAGAATAAGAATAAGGAAATTGTCAAAGTGGGAAGTCTGAACATGCATGGATGTTGTGCGGATGATAAGAAAGAGATGATTGTGGATGTTATGAATGAGAAGAAGCTGGATGTCCTGGCTTTAAGTGAAACAAAGCTGAAGGGGGTGGGAGAGTTTCAGTGGAGAGGAATAAATGGGATTAGGTCAGGGGTTTCAAATAGAGTTAAAGCTAAAGAAGGAGTAGCAATAATGTTGAAGGATAAGCAATGGTATTAAAAGAGGGACTATAAAGTATTAATTCAAGGATTATGTGGAGTAAAATAAAGGTTAGATGTGAAAAGTGGGTTATAGTAAGCGTATATGCACCTGGAGAAGAGAGAAGTGTAGAGGGGAGAGAGAGAGTTGGGGAAATGTTGAGTGAATGCATGGAGAGTTTTGAACCAAGTGCGAGAGTACTTGTGGTTAAGGACTTCAGTGCTAAAGTGGGTAAAAATGTGGGGGGAGTAGTAGGTAAATTTGGGGTGCCAGGGGTAAATGAAAATGGGGAACCTTTAATTGAGTTGTGTGTAGAAAGAGGTTTGGTAATAAGTAATACATATTTTATGAAAAAGAGGATAAATAAATACACAAGGTATGATATAGCACGTAATGAAAGTAGTTAATTCGTATTGGTGGATAAAAGGAAAGGTTGATGGGTAGGCTCCATGATGTACTTGTTTATAGAGGGGCAACTGATATATTGGATCATTATTTAGTTGTAGCTACAGTTAGAGTAAGAGGTAGATGGGACAAGAGGAAAATGACAACAAGAAGTAAGAGGGAGGTGAAAGTGTATAAATTAAGGGAGAGGAAGTTCGGGTGAGATGTGAGCAATTATTGGCAGAAAGGTGGGCTGGTGCAAGTATGAGTAGTGGGGGGGTTGAAGAGGGTTGGAATAGTTTTATAAATGCAGTATTAGAATGTGGGACAGAAGTTTGTGGTTATAGGAGGGTGGGTGCAGGAGGAAAGAGGAGTGATTGGTGGAATGATGAAGTAAAGGGTGTGATAAAAGAGAAAAAGGTAGCTTGTGAGAGGTTTTTACAAAGCAGAAGTGTTATACAAAGAGTAGAATACATGGAGAGTAAAAGAATGGTGAAGAGAGTGGTGAGAGAGTGCAGAAGGAGAGCAGATGATAGAGTGGGAGAGGCACTGTCAAGAAATTTTAATGACAAGAAAAAATTTTGGAGCGAGTTAAACAAGTTAAGAAAGCCTAGGGAACGAATGGATATGTCAGTTAAAAACAGTAGGGGAGTTAGTAGATGGGGAGATGGAGGTATTGGGTAGATGGCGAGAATATTTTGAGGAACTTTTAATTGTGGACGAAGAAAGGGAAGCGGTAATTTCATGCACTGGCCAGGGAGGTATACCATCTTGTAGGAGTGAAGAAGAGTAGGATGTGAGTGTGGGGGAGGTGTGTGAGGCATTATGTAGAATGGGTAGGGGATGCGTAGATAGAGTGTTTACAGTGAAGCATATATGGAACAGTATTTAGATAAAGGTAGGGAAGTTTTTATTGCATTTATTGATTTAGAAAAGGCATATGATAGAGTGGATAGAGGAGCAATGTGACAGATGTTACAAGTACATGTATATGGAATAGGTGGTAAGTTACTAAATGCTGTAAAGAGTTTTTATGAGGATAGTGAGGCCCAGGTTTGGGTGTGTAGAAGAGAGGGAGACTACTTCCTGGTAAAAGTAGGTCTTAGACAGGGATGTGTAATGTCACCATGGTTGTTTAACCCTTTGAGGGTTTCGACCTTACTAGTATGGCTTACGACCCAGGGTTTTTGACGTACTAGTACGCCTAAATTCTAGCGCCCTCAAATCTAGTGGGAGAAAGCTGGTACGCCTACATATGAAAGGATGGGTCTATGTGGTCAGTGTGCACAGTATAAAAAAAAATCCTGCAGCACACAGTGCATAATGAGAAAAAAAAAACTTTGACCGTTTTTTTGGAATAAAACAGCGACTTTGCACTGTATTTTCGTATGGTATTTATTGTTGTATTCTAGTATTCCTGGTCTCATTTTATAGAATGGAAGACATATTACAGAAATTGAGATGATTTTGACTGGTTTTGCAATGAAAAGTACCTTGAAATTGAGCTCAAAGTAGCAGAAATGTTCGATTTTTACCAAAGTTCGAAAGTAAACAAATCATGCCAAGCGTCCAATACACGTCAACTGGTGAGTCTAATATTCTTTCACAAGTACGCCAATATTATTTATACCATTTTTTACACTAATGCAGTAGTCTGCATAACAGTAAATCTTCTATTTTTTGTGAGAATAAAAGTTCAAAGTGGAAAGCAAAAGAATGTAAGAGGGGCCTTGAGACGTGACTAATGAACAGAGGAAATGTCATTTTAGTGCCAGGAATGTCTTTCTTGTTTATTCTGGACCCTATTTGGAAATTGGCATTTTTTGGAAATTTGTGTGAAATTGGCAAAATTGCTAAATTCTGATCACTGTACTGGATAGTTGAAATTGATAAATGGGTGGTTTCTTGCTCTCATTCGATAGAAAAAATGGAATTCTAGCAAAATATTCATGTTTTTTGTCGACTAGTAGATTGCCGATGTGTAAACATTGCTGAAACCACTAACTTCGTGATAGCATAATTCTGTAAGTTTTCCATCAAATTTCAAACTTTTGGTGTCATTATGATCGGGAAAAGATTCTCTATCTTTTCATAAGAGAAAATTATTTTTTTTTTTTAAATTTGGCTGACCCTGAGAACGAGTCTCGGAGAGGGCCTGTCAACCCTCAAAGGGTTAATATATCTATAGATGGGGTTGTAAAAGAAATGCTAGGGTGTTTGGGAGAGGGGTGGGATTAAATTATGGGGAATCAAATACAAAATGGGAATTGACACAGTTACTTTTTGCTGATGATACTGTGCTTATGGGAGATTTTAAAGAAAAATTGCAAAGGTTAGTAGATGAGTTTGGGAGTGTGTGTAATGGTAGAAAGTTGAAAGCTAACATAGAGAAGGGTAAGGTGATGGGGGTATCAAATGATTTAGATGAAGAAAAATTGGATATCAAATTAGGAAGGAGGAGTATGATTAACAAACTTACTCTCAATATTGACAAAACCTACTACATTCAGTTTGGGAACAGAACTACAGATGTTCCTCTTTTTTTTTTTTTTTTTTTTTTTTTTTTTAACCCTTTGACTGTTTCCGACGTATAAATACGTCTTACGAGCCAATGTTTCTGACGTATTTATACGCATAAATTCTAGCAGCTTCAAATCAAGCAGGAGAAAGCTGGTAGGCCCACATGTGAGAGAATGGGTCTCCATGGTCAGTGTGCACCATATAAAAAAAATCGGGGAGCCAGTGGTGCATTGTGGGAATGCCATTTCAGTTGTCATTTTTCAGCATGTCTAGCGGTAAGAAATATGTGATTCCCCAGCAAATCTGGGACTCTTCTCTTCCCAAGTGATGCTCTAACACAGAGGAAGTGTCAGTGAAGATAAATTTCATGATTTGGAGGAGTTTGAGACCAAAAGCAATGGAGGAGGAGGAGGAGGAGGAGGAGGAGAAGAGGAGGAGGAGGAGGAGGAAGAAGATGTAATAATAATGTTCCCTTGAAGCAAGAAAAAAAAAAGTCCACCCCATGACAGTGACAAGAAAAAGGGGAGATAACATCTAAATAAGAGCTGACTTTGATGAGCGTAAAGGAGGGAATATTACATGACCATCGCCCTTTCCCTTTGTTTTTTGCTGGTACACAAACATTTCTGTCTGTCTATTTGTCTGTCTGTCAAGCTCCCTGTCTGTCCATCTAGCTCTCTGTCTCAGAGAGAGCCACAAGACTGTTTTCATCACGTTTACTCACATCTTAAAAGCAGAGTATAGCACTTTGTCTGGATTTCTTGGGTTATCCTAGGTAATTTACACTATGTATACTTGTATTTATGTGTACCTGTGAGACAGAGATAGGCAGACAGATAGAAAGAGAGACAGATTTGGAAAGAATATAGAATGAGGGAGAAAGATAATTAGATGAATGGAGGAGGGGGAAACAGCATCCGACCCATTGTTTGACAGGGGTAGGGGAGTGACTAATGAGTAATATGTCACTTTGACAGCTGCCGACTTCTGACCAAAACAATTATAACCACACACTCACAAAACAAGAAAGGGGGAGGGAAGGAGGAGGGGGAGGAGGAGGAGGAGGAGGAGAAGGAGAAGGAGAAGAGGAGGAGGAGGGGGGAGGAGGAGGAGGAGGAGAAGGAGAAAAAGGAGAAGAAGGAGAAGGAGGAGGAGAAGGGAAAGGGGAAGGGGAGGGAGAAGAAGGAGAAGGAGGAGGAGAAGGAGGAGAAGGAGAGGAGAAGGAGGAAAGGGGGAGGAGGAGGAGGAGGAGGAGGAGGGAAAGGGGGAGGGAAGGAGGAGGAGGAGAAGGAGGAGGAGAAGGGAGGAGGAGAAGGAGAAGGAGGGAGGAGGAGGAGGAAAGGAGAAGGAGGAGGAGGAAAGGAGGAGGAGGAGAAGAGGGAGGAGGGGGATTTTTGTTTGTTGTTTTTTTTAAAAAAGTTTTGAAACAAAAATATGATAATTGTTTGTGTGCCCTTTTTGTTTGTATACAACAAATTATATATAACTTGCACCTTACTTTGGTCTCA